TGTTTTCCTCCTACACAGCACAAGTCACCTGTGAACTTTCTAAACACTTCTTATCACCACTGCCCACTGACTATACATTACTTGATTCTTTCCTCAGCTCAGCCATTCCTCATGTTTGGTTAATATTCATTTTCCTCAAGTGAAGAAGGTGCTGAGGACAATGGCCCAAGCTGTTGACAATTCTATGTTGAAAAGCCAAACTGAGAACCTAGGGGTGTTCCCAGTGTGACTGCTCTGGACCCCTGACCTTCACTTATCACTCAGCGTTGAAAGCCTAGTCATGGGGCAAGGGCTGGCTGCATCTGTGCTTTTGCCTGGAGGTACTAGAGCTCCAGAGATCCAGACCGTGTACATCATTGCAAGACGGTCTCAGTGGTCAAGGAACCCGGGGCAAATATAAGCAGATTATTACCAACTTTGGCACAGTAATTATCGTCAAAGGCCCCTAGGGACTGACATCCTCCTAGTCAGTTCACAGAACTGGGAGTTGTATGCCCCGGTTTAGACAGGACATGCCAAGTGTGTTCGTGCTAGTTTCATTGCTTAACCAAGGACAAAAGCAGATTACCATCAGGGAGATATTTAATTGTACTGGGTGACAACACCATAAGCCTTAGGTCAGTTCAACCCTGCAGCACACTCTCAAGGGCAGGTGTCAAATAGATCTCATGGTGGAACTTGACAGTCTGCTTGGTGTCTTGCCTCTAGTAAACCTCGTGCATACCTGAGTCCAAGAAAGTCAACGTTTGCCCCAGGCTTTCTCTCCATAGTGAACTGTCCCACTCAATGTATGGCTTCTCTGAGTGTCAGCAGACACTCATTCAGGGACACGCAAATGTTGTTTGGACAATTAAGACTGGCAAGAAACGTTACCTGAGTCGTTCTAGCTTAATAGCTATTTGGCAAGTTAGAATTGAATTCTGTCCTGTAGTAGAGACTGCTTTTCATCAAGAACAAAGTCCCTCAGAAAACTCAGTAAGTGCAATAGCTGTAACTGAATCCTGGGGAGGCAGTGATGTAGGAAGATGTCCTTCTGGATAGGTGTTGTTTTGCAGAAGATATAAGCACACAGGAGGTTCCTGAGTCTGTGTCATCGAAAGATGGCATGCATTTTAGTGTTTCTTGTTTTCCAAAAATGCCGATGTTCTCTTTCATTTCTTTCATGCTCCTCTCATTTTTACTCCTTCATCTAGCAAAAAGGATGATTCATCAGCAGCTTATTACATATTTAGTTAGCTCCCTCATGCATACTCTACACCCCTTGTCCATCTCAAAAAAGAGTAAAAGCTGAGTGATTGTTGAATAGCCTCACCAGTGTCCTAACAGCTACTCTGTCCCTGTAGCTCCCGAGGAATACGTTGTGGAGGAACTGTGCTTTCTATAATCAACTGTCCCACTCAACCGATGGCCCCTGTGCATATGGACAACTACTGGATCAGTGGAAATTCACACACTTTATAGAAAATGAATATTGATAGATAAATTCTGTATTATTCATAATGGCTATTTTTAAGTGCTAGGAATTCAGAAATATAAAATCTTGTGTATTTGCTTTTCTTTAAGACAATTAATTAGTGAATTAATAGCATAGTATACTTTGCCAGGATTGAATTCAGTCCTGTAACCGAGTTTACTTTAAATCAATTACAAAACCTTATAGAAGTCATGATGAACAGAGTAGCAGCAACTGTGGCTCTCAGAGGAAGAGTGATCTGGGAAAAATCAAGAGACAGTGGCAATTTACCCGAAGCTCACAATGAGCAGGAGCAGTCATGGTCTCTCTCACTGAACAGTACTTACATTTTAGAGTTTTCCATGTTTTAGGTTGAATATTTCCTGTTGATTAGGCTCCTCTAGCTAGAAGGCCAACGATCTGCATTCATTTCCTTCCACCTCTCCTTTACTTTCCTTCCTCCTCCAAAGAGGATGGATGAACACAAGTTCAGTCCATGCTTATTAACCTCCCACATCCATACACACCACCCCATGTCCACACAAAGAGAAAACCCCCTGCATGATTCCTGAGCAGCCTCACCGCTGTTCTAACAGCTACTCTGTGTCCCTCTAGGTTTCACTGAGGACCTGCCAGTCAACCCAGCTTGTGACAAGACAGAGGAGACTCCATGTGCCTCCAAGGAAAGACTTTTTTCCTTTTTTCTGGTCTGAAATAGAAATATTGTTTCCTTTCTTTTTAAGTACAATTAAGTTGTGCATCTTTGAAGGTGTTCCTTTCAGACAGAGGCGATTTCCTTGGTTGGGATAATGTGAAGTGATATACTTATTACCAAATCATGATGCCTCAGTCCACAGGATATTAAAATTGTTAGCATCCATTACACCCTGTAGAGTACAGAGTTCTCTCTCCTGCAGCAAGATTTCCTCTAAGAAAAGAATTCTGCAATTTCCAATCCAAATGAACTTGGAAGTTCCATCCTCCAGGCAAAGGTCTTGCCTTTCATCCTGAGTATGTGTGTTCTGATAGTGATGGGTTCCGTGGACTTCACCACTGTTCCTCATCAGGAACTGTCACCAAATGAACCAAAGACTGTGCATCTATGTGATCTTATCCTCATAGTGTCTTCTCTTCTGTACTTGCAGGTAGCTCTTTCAGAATGTGAAAGTCGTATGTATTCTAGAATCATTCATTTTAGGAGAAAAATTTGTAGATGAGAAAGTTGGGGCTTTCTCTCTGGTTTTAGTGTAGAGGCCAAACTGATTCAAAATTCATGGGGGCAATGAGTATAGGGGCCCTCATGATAGAAAGTAATTTATAAGTAGAGCAATGTGGCTGATTACTGTAGTCCCAGGAAGAAGCTGTGTTATGGTTAATAGTGTGGGTTTTTGTCCATGGGATTGGGTGTATATCTGTGTGTAATGAACAGTGTGATTCTTCATGTGTCTGTGAATGTTTTTGTCTTGTGTTTTCCTCAATATTTGTCACCCTAAATGTCACTGTTACTGGTGTCAACTTCCCCCGAAAATTTCCCATCACCATGAGCCATTAATGAGTATATATATGTGTGTGTGTGTGTGTGTGTGTGTGTGTGTGTATAAAATTAAGCCAAGTATACACATTCACTGTATCCATTGATTTTATACCAAGTGAACATCCATTACCCTGAAAGACACATCCCGTCCCTACCCAGGAAAATGTTCACCCTGGAGTCTTTTTAACTTTTCTTAATTTTTTCTTGGCTCTGCTGGGTCTTCGTTGCTGCGCAGGGTTTCCTCTGCTTGTGGAGAGTGAGGGCATCTCTCGCGTTGCGGTGTGCACGCGTATCACTTTAGTGCTTCTTTTGTTGCAGAGTGTGGCTTCTAGGGCTCTTGGGCTTCAGTAGTTTCAGAAGCTGGGCTCTGTGCTTGTGCCTCCTGGACTCTAGAACGCGGTTCAGTCCTTGTGGTGCACCAGCAGGTTTAGGTTCTGCGAGGCATGTGGACTCTTTCCAGACCAGGGATTGAGCTCGTATCTCCTGCATTGGCATGTGGATTCCTACCCATTGATGCACCAGTGAAGCCCTGTATGATTCTTAGAAAACAAGACCATGTTTCAGTATCTCCCTCCTGGGTCCGTCACCCCTTCATTTAATCATAAATCCCATTTCTTAATAGGTCTTGTAGCATTTTGTTTGGTCATGATTCATCACTCCGCCATTTCCCTCATTCAAACTCTTTCCTATTACAGCCTCAGAATGAATCTCACCCCCTCAATCAAGGCCCCCAGTACTGGGGAGGCTCTTTCCTTCTGCAGAGAGCCCCTGGTGGTACCCACATGCCACACCTAGGTCTAGAGGAATCTGAGAAAAAAGGAACCTAAAAGCATAGATGAAGTTCAGTCCAGCTTTGCCTCTTAAGCTTTGAAGTGTCCAGTCAGGCCTGTTAATTCAATGCCCTGTGTTTTTCAGCTTGTCTCTAGAACTTTTCCATCCTGCAACAAAAATTTTATAACCATTGAACAGACACTCCCTCTGTCAACCTCCTCCCAGTTCTTGGAACCACCCTTCTACTCTCTGCTTCTCTGAATTTTCCTTCAGATACATCAGGTAAATGGAATTGTGCAGTATTTGTCCTCCTTTGACCTCCTTATTTCACTCTTACCAATATCCTCGAGCTTCATTCACGGTGCTGCAAATGACAAGATGTCCTTCATTTTAAAATGCTGAAACACCTTGCAGTGTATGTATACACCACATTTTCTTTTTGATTTATCTGCCCGTGGACACTGGGCAGTTTTCTTGGATTTTGTGTACAATACAGCAATGGATACATGATTGTAGATATCTCCTGGATATTCTCATTTTATCTTCTTTGGACATAAACTCAAAAGAGTGATTCCTGGATCTTATGATCGTTCTCTTAACATTATTTTCTTTTTATAATACACAGCCTGAAAGGTGATATCTCCTTTTGACTTGGTTTCTATTTCACTGATACTTAGTGATGTTGAGCACTATGCCTATGAATATTGGTCACTTCTCTGTCTTCTATGAAGAAATATCTATTGAAGCCTTTTACACATCTTTTATTTTTTTTAAGTCGGTTATTTGCCTGTTGTTGTTTTGAAGTTGAGCTGTAGTAGTTGCTATATATTCTGAATATTGGCCCATTATGCAGATACAAAGTTTGCAGATACTTCTTCTCATTTCATCAGTTTACCTTTCTGCTGATTGTTGAGGAGACCATCCTTTCTTTACATGGTCATTTTAGAACCCTGGCAAAGATCATTTGGCCTCATATGTGTGAATTTATTCAAGATTCCATCCTTGTGATTTATTGGTCTCTCTGCCTGTTTTATTGCAGGTAGAAGACAGTTTTGACTGTTGTGGCATTCTTACCTGCTTTGAATTCAGGAAGCCCCATTGTCATTATTTGCTCTCAGGACTGTTTCTGCTCTTTGGGTTTCTCTTCAGTTGCATAAGTTTTAGTATTTGAGGATTTTTTATTTCCATTGTGATTTTTTATTTCCAAAATGTCATGAGACCTTGTCAGTGGTTTCAACATATATGTTCATCACTTTTAGGAGTATAGGAAGGTCAACAACACTAAATATTCCAGTTTATGAGTATGGTGTGTCATTCCAATTACTTGTCTCTTCTTTCTTTCAAAAGTATTCTATGGTGTTCAGTGCACAAAATTTTCACTTCCTGGGAGGCTTTTGTGGTGCCTTGCTTGGGTCCTCTAGAGACAGGGATGGGAATGATGGGCTCGTGAAGACAGTGAACATCCCTTCCCTCCCCTCTGAACCTACTCTCTGGTTACTTGTCGTACAGGAGCTCTGGGCCATGCCCTTCACCACTCCTACAAGTGAGCCCCCTACTGGGAATTTTCTTTGAAGCTGAGTGTTCACCTTGCTATTGGGATGTTCACAAGCACACTCCCAATGCCTGGCCTAGGTTCAAGTGCCCCAGGTATACCTACATATGACTGATCTCATCAGGGCATCAAATTGTCTACAACAGAGAAAAACCTGAAGAGGCAATTAGTTGCCTTTTCCTTTTCATTGGAGCTAGGAGAGCTGAACTTTCCAGTGTAGTAGCCACTAGTCAGATCTCCCTATCTATAATTAACATATTTCAAACAATAATTAACATATTTTTAAAAACCACAAAAAATACACATTTGTTGATCACAGTAGCCATATTTCAAGTGTGTCCCTAAGTGTTGCAATTTCAGCTTTGTAAGCTTGAATGTAAGAGTTATATTGGGCTTGTAGAAGTGTAAGGTTAAAATGTGTTTCTCTCAGCATCTCTCTCTCATATGAAATTTTGCAACTGGGATCAACATCTTGTTGAAGAGCTCTGACTCCACAAACAAAGGGGAGGTCTGTGAACCTGGAGGAAAGACCAGGGAGATGCTGTGTGAGCCAAGTGGAGAAGGAGAAGTGGGTGAGTCAACTTGTATAATAACTGTATTATTGCTCACGGTTGTCTTTCTGCAGACTGCTTCCTGGAAGCTGTTAGCAGCACTGATGCAGAAGAGAACACAGGTAGGGAACAACTCTCAAGTGGGATTAACAGGGAGAGGGTTCCAGGACCACTTGGGTTACACTTAACTCTTTGGAGGTGAAGGAAGATGAATATAAACTGAGGAAGTAGAAGGAAGAAATATGTGTAGAATGTTGATTTGTTCTTTTCATATTTTAATGATTTTATAGACCCATGTGATCGTGTGCTGTACTGTGCTGTGCTTAAAGACATCTCTTTTTGCTTGTCCATGTAAAAATGTCCTTTACGACAAGACTACTCTTTCCTTGTCCTTTCACTGCTAAATGTGAAAGCTTGACTTCTGGTTAGTACCTGCAGGATTTTATGTACAAGGAACTTTGGCTTCATGTTCAAATTCTCCTATGATGGCCACATCCTTGTGGGCACAAAATTCTCACAGCCGCTTGACACTGGAGACCAAGTTCTGGCAGCGAGTGTCAGGTAGTGGGTGAGACGTGAACCCTCTCCCTCTGCATTTTCAGGACTTGTGGTTTCCCCTCGTGTTTGTCCTCACTGTTTGTTCCTTGTATGAAGGGTGCTCTCAGGGTTTAACGAGTCAGAGCACACGTGCTGTGGCATCCCTGCCTGGGCTAGGCTCCTGAAGCTCGTCTCAGCAACACCCCTTCCCAAGGATGCTGTGCTGAAGGTGCTTCCACGTGAGACCAGTCCATGTCCAGCTGCCCCTGGAGACCAGCCTGGCCACAGACTCTTGAGCCTGTGAAGGGGCCGCTGGCTTTCTTTGCACATTTGCTCTCACAGCCCTGCTGACCTGGTCTCCTGGGACTGACCGGACCCAGGTCAGAGACTCAGAGCAGCAGGACCTGGGGTGACTGCTCCCCTTCGAACCCACTACTCCCTCCAGACCAAAGCTCCAGATGGTTTTGATCACCATCTTTGCACACTCCTCAGCTCATTTATTTACCTTTTATTTTTTAGTTTGTTTTGCATTTGAGCCATGGAATTTTCTGATATATTTTGAGTATGAGCTCCTAATGTGATATATGCTTTGCAATTTTTCTGTAGGTTAACTTTCCATCCTACTGATTGTTGAAGAGACTACCCTTTCCCTATTTTGTTGTCTTAGAACCTTCATGAATTTAATTTCACCTTGTATCCATGAGTTTACTTGTTTTTTTTTTTTTTTTTTACATTCTGGTATTTAGGGCTATGTATCTGTTTCTATATCAGTATCATACAGCTTTGATTCCAATAACTTTGTAATGTGTTTTGAAATCAAGAGGTGAGAAACTTTGATCTTTGTTCTCAAGATCATTTTGTCTATTTGGAGTTCTCTGTGGTTCCATACATAATTTTGGAATTGCTTTTTCTATTTCTATGACAATGACATTAGTATTTTGATTGGTGTTGCAATGAATCTTTACTTAGGTTCAGGTAGTGTAGAAATGTCAACAGAACTAAGTCACCAGTCTATGAGCATGGAATGTCATGTCAATTCCTTGTGCCTTGTTCCACCTTCTCAGTGTGGTGTGTAGTGTTCAGTGAGCTGGTCATGTCTCTCTGAAGGCCCTGTGTCCCTCCCTCCCTGATCTCAGAATCAGTGGTGGAGGGATGGGTTTGTGAGGAGATGCAGTGTCTCTCCCTCCCTTCTCACCTCTTCTCTGATGATGTTCAGCACAGGTTCCCTGGGCCCTGTGTCCATACCTGTCCCCTCAAGAGGAACAGCTGCTGTGAATTCCTCTAAGATCTGGGTGTTGACATTGATGTTTCAGTGTCCCAAAGGCTCATGAATACCTGGGATGTGTGCATGAGCCCAGGAAATACCTAGAAATGAATCATCAAATCAAGCCTGTCAAATGCTCTGCAGAAACTGTTGGGGTACAATTCACAGGCCTACAAGTCCTGCACTTATCTAGACTTGAAACCAAAGAAAGATCCCAGACTTGTCAGAGATATCAAAGGTTTAAGAGATGGGATGATTTCCATGTCTGAAGTAAAAGGATCCTGGAGAGACACCCACTGTGGATAGCAGGGGACAGGCAGAAGACAGCAGCTGCAGAATTCTTCTCTTGGTGGGGGGTGGGGGGGAGTAGGGAGTCTACCAGTTCCAGCAGGAATGAACAGCAGTTTGGCTCCTTGGTTAAATTGGTTACCATGGAAACCAGTAGAGCATCACATCCCTCTCTTAGCCCCTCAGGCTAAATACTTTCATGGGGCAGAAGTCTTGTCTTTGTTAATCTATCAGCAAACAGCCATCTTGAAATGGCCAGAAAATGCAGAGGAAATAATCAGGAGAGAGAAGATAACAGAAGGGTGGTAACATGCTATATATAGCCTTGCATGCTCAGTCACTCAGTTTTATCTGACCCTTTGAGATCCCATGGACCCATATGCCACCAGGCTCCTCTGTCCATGTATTCCCCAGGGGGGAATATTAAAGTGGTTTGCCATATCCTCCTCCAGAGCCTCTTCCCAACCCAGGAAACCAACCCATGTCTCCTCCATTGGCAGGCAGATTCTTTACCACTCAGCCACCAGGCAAGCCCTAACCCTCCCTTGAAATAAAGTCCCCTGGCATTCCAGAAACTGTTCTACCACAATCTATCAGAAGTGTTAGAACAAGTGGCACTGATCTCCAGATTCATTCAATCTTCCCTAGTGACTCAGATGGTAAAGAATTCACCTGCAATGCAGGAGAACTGGGTTTGAAACTTGGGTCATGAAGATCCCCTGAAGAAGGAAATGACTACCCACTCCAGTGTTCTTGCCTGGAGAATTCCATGACAGAGGGGCCCGGAGGGCTACAGTCCATGCAGTCACAAATTGTTGAACATGACTCAGTGACTAAGCACGTGCACATGTATAAACTTACATAGTGGTTGTTGTGTTTTATAGTGTGGTAGCCACTAGCCAGATGTGACTGTTATAATTGCTTCAAGGCATGTTTTATGTGTGTCAAAAACACTTGTGATTTCAGGTTGGTTGGCATGAAGGTGAGAGCTGTAATGGGCCTGTAGAAGTGAGAGGTTGAGAACTGACTCTTTCAGCATCTCTAGGTTTGCAACTCAGATCAGAGTCTTATTGGAGGGCTCTGACTGCACAGAGCACAGATGACTGCCATCTGCTATCCACAATGCAATGTCTTTCCAGAATCCTAGGAAGAAGTTCAGGGTGATGCTGTGAGAGCCAGCATGGCCTCAACTGGAGCAGAAGTGGGTGGGTTGCTCATTCTAATCACCTGGTTGCTCATGGTTGCGTTTCTATGGAATGCATTGTGGAGACCATTCGGTGCAGTGATGAGGAAGGGACACAAGAGGAAGCAACATTCAGTTGGGATCTGATGGGAGAGGGTTCCTGGAAATTTAGGGTTAAACACCCTGCTTGGAGGCTAAGGAAGGAGAACATGAAATTAGGAAGAAGGAAAAGTGTGTAGACTTATTCTTCTCATATTTTAATGACATGATAGAGAGATTTTATCCTGGACCTGCACTGAGCTGTGTTTATAATGTTTTTTCTTTATTTGCTCTTCAAAGATTATTTTTCCCATAAGAGCTTCCTTTTCCTGCTTCTGTCACTGACTAGTATGGAAGCCTGCTATCTGGTCAGCACATCTCGGGTATTGTGCACTGCAGACTCTGCTTTCTATTGCATGCTGAACTATGATGGCCATATCCTAGGATGCAAAACTCTCATTGCCACTTGATACTGGAGGCCATGTGCCTGTCAGTTCAGTTCAGTTCAGTTCAGTCACTCAGTCTTGTCCGACTCTTTGCGACCCCATGAATCGCAGCATGCCAGGCCTTCCTGTCCATCACAAACTCCAGGTCAGTTCTCTTCTCCTGCAGGTTCAGGACTTGTGACTTCCCCTCATGTTTGTCCTCACTGTTAATCCCTCATGTAGAGGGCACTGCCATGGGGGGATGAGTCACAGCACACAGGATCTGGGTCCCTGCCTGGGCTTGGACTCCTGGAGCCACCACACCAGTGAAGGCTGATGTGCTGAAGGTGCTTCCATGTGAGAGGCCCGTGTCCAGAGGGTGGTCACAATCCATGCAGACGAGTGGAGGATGCCCTGAGCACGTCTCCCCAGGGCACAGGTCCCGTCCCCAGATGCCCCCGAGGTTGCTGGGCTGGCTCCTCCTGCAGCTCTTACCTTCGCAGGGAGGCTGGGGGCACTGTGGGGCCACTGTGTGTAGGAGTCCAGGAACTGCTGTTCCAGCATGTTCTCTTTGAAGATCCCCCGTGGGGGCTTCCTCATCTCCCTCTGCAGGACCCAGCTCTGGCCTCCAACCCCCCAAAGGCAGCAGGGGGCACCCCTAGTCCACCACCAGCTGCAGAGAGAGGTGGGGGCGGCCCCACCCTCCCCAGTCCTGGGCTCCTGGGAACAGAGT